TCTCAAGGGTATTTCGAAAGGAAATACCGAGAGGGTTTGGAGATCCATAAAAACCCTAACAACCTCAACAGGGACAGAGGATATCAAGTGAACCCCATTGGGAAAATTGTCCTCCCGGTTTTTTAATTGACCAGCTGATCAATTAAAAACATAGGATTGGCTGACCCCCCCCCTTCCCCTTCCCCCATCACCACAAGGGAAGGTATATAAGGACTGCCCCCACACATCGGAGCTCAGAATCGGAGCTCATAGCCCTGAAGATGCAGACTGCAATGTTTGCGAAATGTCGGCGCAATGCTGAAACTCAACGCGGCATCCATCCGGAAGCCAACTAAGTTATTCTCATCGTCGATTTTTGGTCAACGCCTGGAGTGCCTCCTTGTATGCTGGGCATCTACCGCTGCCAGCAATATGAGCACTGTTGTCTATGCGACCCTTTGCGACGCAGAGGACGCATTTGGCATCTTTCTCGCATTTTGCGACCAGATGACCATCCTCACCGCATTTGATACAGTTTTTGGAGCGGTCAACCAAGCTTTTGCACTTATTGGCAAGATGCCCGAAGTCCCAGCACTTGAAGCACTTCAGGGGTCTTTCCACTCTTCTGACGTGGCAGTTTACCCACTCGATCTTAATCTTGCCGGATTCTCCGACAATTTTCTTCGTCGTCGGGACTGGCAGTCTCACCCAGGCCGTCTGGGTACGTCCGTATGCCTTCCGCAGTGACTTGATCGCATTTAGCGAAATTCCGCAACTTTCTCCGGCAGCCTTCTGCAAAGCTTCGAGGATTTCTTTTTTCGTTGCTGTCTCCTCGAGGTTCTTGATTTTGACATCTTCTTCCGGTGTCTTACTGAGGACCTGCGCATCATGTCCAAAGAGGTCAGTGATGGCGTTCTGCAGGCCTGGAGCTTTGTCGCTGTGCTCCTTCGAGAGGATAATCAACATGTCTTCCGTAGCCGTGTTCCGGATCTTTTCCACGCACTGGTGGGATTCACGAGCTGTCGCGTCCTGCTTCATTCGCTTGAGGATATCAGAGTATGACCCTTTGTCCTTTGGGCGGATGATCAACGCGTCAGGACTTGCCGCACGCTTCCTCTGCCGCGGAAGCTGCTCTGTAGGCTGCTTCTTCCTCTTGTTTTTCTTCCCTTTGGCTTCCTGCCACTCCGACGTCATGGGAAGATGGGTTCACGATTCGGGCGGTGATGTTGCTACCTGTTCCTTCCGCTTCTTCGAAGATTTAGTGTCCATCTCGGGAGAGGTGCGCGTCCGCGGCCTTCCCGTGATGGTGTCCCGCAAATTAGGCGTTAACGTTTCGCACTCTTCGACCTCGGTGTCCTTCGCCGTCGTCTCAAAAAGAGTACGGGTGTGCGATGGCGTTGCAGACGTCCGCACTACGACTGGTGTCGAGAGATGCTGAGGGCTTTTTGCCTTGGCTTAGCCATCTCTGTCTCCTTCAGTCTTCTATAAGCTGTTGCAATAGCCGCTAAGTTCGTCTTAATCTCCTTGTAGACGTTTGGCTTAGGGTTGGCAAAATTATGCAGCTCGGTGATCAGCTGGTCAAGCCGGTCCCATGCCTGCGTCCTCTTCATTGCTGCACTTGCATCAAGTGCTGCTTGTTGGGCCTGCTGCCCGCTCATTTCTCCTTGATCACTATTCAGTTTTCTTTTGTGTTGGTCCTTCATTTTGTTCCCACGAGTACCTAGGGATGTAACAACAGTCCGCCCCCGCAGAGCCCCGGCTGCTGGGGTAAGGCCACTTAATACACCCGGGGTGGGACCTGGTGCCCCAGGGACCACCGTTTGCGACGCCAACCACCCCTGGCGCCTTCCAGAACTCGGCACGGTGAACACCTTAACATTAGGGTGAGGCTGTTTAAGGGAGCCCACNAGAGAGAGAGAGAGAGAGAGAGAGAGAGAGAGAGAGAGAGAGAGAGAGAGAGAGAGAGAGAGAGAGAGAGAGAACGGCTGACGAAAAACCTCAAACCTTGTCGCATTCAGTCTGTGATGTTCCATAGGCTCGTGCGCGCATGCTTAAATGGTCGGAACAATCCTGTAGGGAGTGGGAGCGAGACGGAGACTTCTCTCTCGCACAGATGGTTCTCATGCACGGCGCCGGATTTAGGGGTTGAAGCTAGGAAATTGCGTTTAACTTTGAATCCATAGGAGATTCGCGGATACGATCAAGACAAAATTTGTGGTAAGTGTTCTAATAAAGAATATGGAAGAAAAAAAAAACAAATTCATCGATTCAATGTCAAGATATAAATAGCAACATATATTAAATTCGCTCTGAATAAATAAGCAAGCTATTGAAAAAAAACACTGATATTCCGAATTACAAAAAAAAAAAATTCATCAACTTCAATTTTTTAAATGGAAAACATTTTTTTGTCCCATCTTATCTTCACGCGGCTCTGGGGGATAAACGGTTGGGAATAGGGGTAAAGTGCCCCAAAGATTTTTTATGTAGAATTTTGAGCTCTACAACTTTGTATATTACATTTTTGGACGTACAGCACGTTATTCACGAGTTATTTTGAAAAAACTGTTTTCAGGGGTAGTTTTTTGGCTTTTCCAACCCCCGCACAAACTTGGGGAACCTTAAACATCCGCCATTAGTTTCATACGCCAAAATCACAAATTCTATCAAAAATGGAGCCTGATTAGCAAACATTCGTATGTTAGACCTTTGTTCATTAGACTACTGTCGGTGTCAAAAGTAGAGACCACTCGAAATAAACGTCTATAACTCAGTGAAAAACAATCGTAAAAATATGAGACTAAATAGACTGTGTAATATAAGTATATCGCTTGCCCAATACGGAGTTTCAAGTTTTTAATTTGATTAGTTTATTTATAATCGCTGTGAGAAGCCGAAAAACCCCCCGATTTTCAGGGTCCGTAAAAGTCGGCAAACTTTGAACCGCTAGCAAACGTACGAAAATTTTTTTTTTTAAATCGTCAATTTTTTCAGTGATTTGTATAACCCCTGAGAAGCCAATCAGGGAAGAAAAAGATCGAAATTGCGATAATTATTCATTTTATTTATAGAAATGTCGACTGCGGCTATTTCGTTGTAGAATTGCCGAGCCGACCTGAAAAAAAAACAATGCATTTGGAGTTCAATGTAAAACACATTCGGTCAATAGTTTTTCAATAAACAATCTCCGTTGATTTTTAAAAAAATCAAGAAAATTTGTCAAAAAAAGTGCTGTTAAAACGATCATAACTCGTTATGGGGTTTATGGGCCCGCTCACCGCCAGTCCCTCAAAATTAAAAACACATGTGCACCCGGCTACCTTTTTCAGGGGCGTCGATACCAGTTTCAGCCGTTTGGGCCCTTTGGAGCGCCAATATACTGTACATTGCTGCTTTCCCATTAAAACAAAAATACAAAGACGAATATTTTTTTTTTAATCATCATCTAATCTTAACATATATATATATATATATATATATGTTCTTTTGTCCGGCGCGTATCTGGGAGACCCGGGTTCGATTCCCGGCTGGGTGAAGCGGAAATTTTTTCTCTCTAAATTCTAATTCTCTTGGGATTTTTTTTATTGTTATTATTATTATTATTATTATTATTATTATTATTATTATTATTATTATTATCATCATCATCATCATAGTTTTAGAATATATATATATATGTTTCCGAGCATACCCATAATTATTTTACTTTAGGGAAAATTACGTAATTCTATTGTAATATTAATATTCTAATAATGATTTCACTCAGGTTCAACGGTGGAGACATGGCAGTGGTCATGATCGCAAAAATGAAGTAATGATTATATGCGGTTCTAAAAATGTTTTAGAAGGAGTTCTGCGATACTGTTGATTTAAAAATTCACTTGAATAATGAATTTGAAAATATTAAGTCATCATTTTCTTCCTGCAAAACAACATAGAGGAAAATTTGCCAAATATTGGTATAGTTTTGTATCTTCAAAAATTTAATTTTGTCGAGGCTGCTCATATGGTTTTCTTATAATTCAAAAGACCAAATCCTTTTTTTTTCATTTTTTCTCCAGCTTTGTTACTCATTACGTCAATTCTTCTGTTTCTTGATTTTTTGACGAAATTTTTGGTTTCAGTAGAGGTAAATTTTTTCCACATTTTCTGACATGTGCTTCCGATAGAAATTTTCAGTTCTTCCAATTGAGTATGGTTTCAATTAGCTCACACCATCGGAAATGCTTTAAAAATGCCAAAAAAACAACCAAATTGCACTTTGTATCGTCTTCCCCAACCATGATTGCAGATTTTCTTTTCTCCTTACCCAAAGTAACCTTTTTTACAAAACATACTGAGAAATCAAAGTGGCACTCCGATCCTTTCTGTCCAAAATTGATTTTAGAAAATATATTTTTTTAACTATTTCAATTTTTGAAATCTTCCATTAAAAAATTGATAACTACTGACACTAAAAATTTCGTCAAATACTCAAGGAATAGAAAAATTGATGTAGTCAGCATATCAAAACTGGAAAAAATTGAAAAAAAAATCCCTGCGGATCTTCCTAATAATAAGAAAAACCATGTGAAAAGCCTCAACGAAATTAAAATTTTTAAGGTACAAAACCATACCAATATTTGGCGAATTCGCCCATAGATTGAATTCATTAGCGTATTCTTCTTATTATTATTAACCACTATCACTCATTAATACGATCATTCAAGTATCAATTAGTTCTGCAAAATGAACTTCAAATTCATTACGATAGCAAATTTTTGAATAAGAATTGAATGATATTCCAGTATTCGTTCCAAAATTTTGGGATCGAATATAGGAAATAATTTATTTTTGGGGTCATGACCACTGCCACGTCCCCGTCGTTGACCCTGGGTAATGCTAAGAGCAGTGGATGAGTTTATGTTTAAAAATAATNGCTAAGAACAGTGGATGAGTTTATATTTAAAAATAACAAATAATAATTAATTGTAGCCACATGTTTCAAATGATTAATATTGATGAAACCCATTAGTACGTATAATTAATGATACAATTATTAAAAAGAAAAATATTCGTGTTCGTATTTTTGTTTTAATGGGACAGTAGCAATGTACAGTATATTGGCGCCCCAAAGGGTCCAAACGGCTGAAACTGGTATCGACGCCCCTGAAAAAGGTAGCCGGGCGCACATGTGTTTTTAATTTTGAGGGACTGGCGGTGAGCGGGCCCATAAACCCCATAGCGAGTTATGATCGTTTTAATAGCACTTTTTTTGACAGATTTTCTTGATTTTTTTTTTAATCAACGGAGATTGTTTATTGAAAAACTATTGACCGAATGTGTTTTACATTGAACTCAAAATGCATTGTTTTTTTTCAGGTCGGCTCCGCAATTCCACAACGAAATAGCCGCAGTCGACATTTCTATGAATAAAATGAATAATTATCGCAATTTCGATCTTTTTCTTCCCTGGTTGGCTTCTCAGGGGTTAGACGAATCTCTGAAAAAATTGACGATTTTTTAAAAAAATCTTTCGTACGTTTGCTAGCGGTTCAAAGTTTGCCGACTTTTACGGACCCTGAAAATCGGGGGGTTTTTCGGCTTCTCACAGCGATTATAAATAAACTAATCAAATTAAAAACTTGAAACTCCGTATTGGGCAAGCGAAATACTTATATTACACAGTGTATTTGGTCTCATATTTTTACGATTTTTTTTCACTGAGTTATAGACGTTTATTTCGATTGGTCTCTACTTTTGACACCGACAGTAGGTGTGGGTAACGCGCTTTTGGCCATCAGTAGCCTGAGGTGGGCGGTGCCTTTATGGTGCCTGTATCGACGGAACGATACTTCTGAGCTAACAATTAAGATCACTCAGATGAATTCAAGACTAATATTTCATTCATTTTTTTTGGTTTTTTTATTTATAGGCTAAAATTGAATTGTAGATTTTTTTTGTTTTTAGTTTGAATTATTTAATTAAATTTGTAGTATTTACAGTTTAATTGATTTTCTTTTGTTTTGCTAACAATTTCTGACTGTTATGTGTAATTTAAATGTACAATCTCAGTGTTTGCTTGATTTTAGAAAAACAATTATTTTGTTGTTTTCTGAGTTATTCCATCGATGAAATTATGTTTGAATTACTGGTTGAATTCATAAAAGAAATTCAATGTTTGCCTGAGTTAGTTTTCGATTGGAAAATGATTT